AAGCTTGAACACGCCTGGGTCTGCCACCCCTGCTGCTTTCAGCTGCTGCAGCAACAGAAAGATGCCCCCTTTCTCGCAAAACTTGCTGAGCTGCTGCAGCAAGAGATCAGTGGCTGGCTGAGTCAGGACGGTCCAGCCATCGGAATTGACACCATGGCGTTGCCATCCAACATCTTGGTGGCGTATGTGTTGCACAGCTTGGAGGAAGCATCCGTTGCAGCGTTGCCAGCATCTCGCAAGAGATCATCATAGCTCGAGGCGGAGGTGATGATGGCATTGAAAACGCGGCACTTCTCTTGCACAGCAGATGTCCAAGCGTTGAAACCTAAGTTCTCCTCGTCAGTACCATTCGCAAGAAAAGCTTTGGCAACATCCTGCTCACAAGCCTGCAAGAAGAACTCCTTCAACTGCACAAAGCTTGACAACGCATCCCTCGCAGCTGTCAGCTGTTGGTTGGCTCCTGCAGCAAGCTGGAGTAGTTGGCTGCCGGAACCAGTCTCGTGACCCTTGTCGACTTTGTCTCATGAGCAAGCAAATGAATGGTCAGGCACGTCCTGTTGGGGACGTGCAACATCATTGAGCTCTGAGGAAAAAGCCACACGAATTACACCGCCGTAGACCCCAAACAGTGGGTGGATTCAAGAAGTGTTTTGGGGAACAAGGCCAAAGACATGAAATAGCAGCAACAGGATTAATGAACTTTATCTGCAAAAAGTGCAACAGACCACTTTGTATACGTTTATTTTGTTCGGCTTCGCTTGCTTTGTTGCAACGCTAGATGCCGAAAAACGACGAAGGAAGCATCCGATGGGGGTGCAAGTATTTGGTTCCAAACGCTCGAAGCAAGCAGCATAGGACTGTCAAATTGGATGTGTTGAAAACATCGAAGGATGAAAGTGAAAGATGACACATCATTCTCAATCCCGGAGCTCTGTGAACTTTCAAGTCTGCGCAATTCTCGGCGTGCGAAAATTTTTGCTGGGGAACAAGGGAGAGACAAGCTGGGAGACAAGCCGGGAGACAAGCTGGGGGGCAAGCTGGGAAACAAGCTGGCTGGGAGACAAAAGAGACAAGACCGTAGGAGGTGGACGCACCCTCCAACAAAGGGAAACAAGAAGGAAGACAAACTGGTACACAAGCTGGGAGACAAACGGGACAAGGACTTGGGAAGGCGGACAAACCATCCAACAAAGGGAAAAAAGAAGGGAGACGTGGGAGACAAGGGGGAAGACGGACACACCACCCAACAAAGGGAAACAAGAACAAAGACCAGCTGGGAGACAAGCTGGGAGACAAGGCCTCGGGAAGACGCGCGGACCATCCAAGAAACGGAAACAAGAAGGGAAACAAGCTGGAAGGCGGACACCAAAGGGAACAAGAAGGAAAGACAACCTGGCAAGCTGGGAGACAAGCTGGGAGACAAGCTGGGGGACAAGGGGGACAAGTCCTCGGGAAGATCCACAGCAAGGGGACGGCAGACGCACCATCCAACAAAGGGAAACAAGAAGGGACACAAGGGGAGACAAGACCTCGGGAAGGCGGACTCACATGTGGGGAGACAATGACAGACAATTGGAGGCAGCGGGAGACATAGGAAACAAGGGGAGACAAAACGGGAAAGCGGGCATACCATCCAACAAAGGGACACAAGAAGGAAGACCATGCGAGACAAGACCTTGGGAAAGTTAAGGTTCACTGGTGCAACCTGGGGCTGGAACCCTGAAAAGGTAAGGTTCATGAGGAGGTGGTGCCCGACGGCGCACTTTTAACTTTTCGTCCTGCCCCTATTCTTGCGTTATTCTTTTACTTTTTTTTTTGAGCGTTTTTGACTTTTACTATTCTTGCGCTATTATTGGTAGATAGCAAAAAAAAATAAAAGCGAAAAATGCACCAAAAAAAGTCAAACATCAGCAAATTATTAGGAAATAATAGCAAAATATTGGCAAAATAATAGCGCATGCCCGACGGGCGCCCTTTCCACTTTTCGTCCATCTGCCGGGCGCTCTTTTTTTACTGTTTTGGTCCGGCACAAACCCGCTAATGCGCCGTTTCACTGGGGTTGAGGTGTGGTAGGCCCACTGCTGCACACTCGAACTGGGATCTCTAAACGGCAAGGTTGAAGTGTATAAAAACTCACTGCTGCACACTCAGGCTGGGACCCCCAAAGCTAGTTGAAATGCAGTAAGTTCACTGCTGCACACTCGGGCTGGGACCCCTAAAAGGTAACGTTGAAATGTAGTAAGTTCACTGCTGCACACTCGGTCTGTGACCCGAAAACTGTAAGGTTGAAATGTAGCAGGTTCACTGCTGCACGCTGCGGCTGGGACCCCTAAAATGTAACGTTGAAATGTAGTAAGTTCACTGCTGCACGCTCCGGCTGGGACCCCTAAAATGTAACGTTGAAATGTAGTAAGTTCACTGCTGCACGCTCCAGCTGGGACCCCAAAAAGGTAAGGTTGAAATGTAGCAGGTTCACTGCTGCAGCTGGGACCCTTAAAATGTAAGGCTTGAAATGTAGTAAGTTCACTGCTGCAGTAAGTTCACTGCTGCACACTCGGGCTGTTCCCCAAAAAGGTAAGGTTGAAATGTAGTAGGTTCACTGCTGCACACTCGGGCTGGGACCCCAAAAAGGGAAGGTTGAAATGTAGTAGGTTCACTGCTGCACTCCTGGGCTGCGACCCCTAAAATGCAAGGTTGAAATGTAGTAAGTTCACTGCTGCACACTCGGGCTGGGACCCCTGGTAAGTTCTTTGTTGCTTGCTGTTTTTTCAAATTTTTGGAGACTTGGAGAAAATCAAGATGAAACAAAATTCGATGCAATATTGGTTTGCTAATGACAATAAAACTATGTCATTGTCGGGTCTATTTACTATTTAAATTTAGTGCATGTCCATGATTTGTGGAAAACAAACAGTTGCTCATCTCACCATCAGGGCGATACCCCAGACCTGTGGGTTGCTCTTTTGTTCATCTCTTGCTTTGGATTTTCCAGCTGGGGCCAAAAAACTGTTTCAAAGTAAGCCAAGTTTCACCATATAAATATACATAGCACATTAAAGTATTAAATTAATATACGAATATTTACGTGGATTCGACACTTTTTCATCTAATATAAATGCTGCCCTTTTCCATATAAGTTCTTGGCTTTTCCATATAAATATAAGTTATTTCTTTCCTTGTCCATTTTCGATTTACTTTTCCAAAAAAAACTTTACTTGTCCAGAAAATTCGTTACTTTTCCAAAAATATAAATTACTAATTTTCCATTTGTATTTAGATTGAAAATTCAATGTTTCCATATAAATTCGTTACTTTTAATTCTGTACTTTTCAATACTTTACTTGCCCATATAAATTTAAGTTCTTTACTTTTCCATAATATTAATAAGATGACTGAGGTTGTTACTAGTTACTAGTTGCTGTTCCTGATGTGGCTAATCGCAGCTATAGTTTGCTGCTTGGCCAAATCAAATCAGTTGCCAAAATTACTATTTAAGATTCTCACCCGAAGTGCCCCAGCAACTTGGCACACTTACCAGATTCTCACCCGAAGTGCCCACCAACTTTGCACATTTACCTGGTCCAACTTTACTATTTAGTTTTGCTTTTATTTTTCTCCAATTTTTCTAACGTTTTACTAAATAGTTATTTTACCCTGGTCCAGAACCAGCCCGACAGGGAACACATAATGTTGTCCAGGCACAACCCCATGAATGCCAAATGCAAAATCTATAGCCAAAAATGAATATTTAAGAATGTATACTTACAGGCTGCAGCTGTCAGAAACGCATATTTTCAAAACTTTTCAAAAGGGGATCAATTTTTGCTTATTACTCTAGATGCCTTTGGGTCACCGTAAACACGCGCCAACTGCGCAGCCATAATATCCCCGAAATTCAAGTCACAAAATTGATCTGAAGCGTTTTGTGCAAAAAAAATACATTCAGGGGGATTGCTTTCAAGCATGGTGTATACTATACGTGTTCAACGACACGCGAAGATGCCCCCGAAACTTGCAATCGCGTGCATCCTGCACCCCTGCCATACCGAGTTGTCTCTGCCGACAGTTGGTCACAGGAGCCAAGTCAAAATCCTCTAGGTCTGGATAGAACTAAGACCATGGAGATCCATTTTCTTTTAATTTTCCAGAATATGGAACACCTGGCTCAAGTTGAGACTGCAAAGTGGGTACTAGAATCTCTTGCCAAACTGGTTGAGTGACGTTCAAATGGCACGGAGAGCTTTTGGGGAGACCGTGCAGATCAGGAAAGTTGGCCTGCCAGAATCCATTTTGCATTTTTGAAAGGCCGCAAAAACAGCACGCAAAAAATATGCATTGTCAATATGCATTTTTGGGCAACACGCATTTTCAAAATGCATTTGTTCAATATGCATTTTTGACCTATATATTCTTAATTTTCATCATGGGCGCCATGATGCAAAGACTTTCTGAGACCAAAAACTGCCAAAGAACATCACACAAACATCACAAAGCATGGATTGAAATGATGTGACTGAAACACGACTTCCATTTTTTGACCTGGTGCTGACGCGCAAAAAACAAGTAGCAAAACTGAACAAATCTAAATGATAGACAGGCATTCTTGACTCTTGAAAGGCTATCTATCATTTTCCTGAAACATTGAGAGTAACATGCATTCAGTGGAGGGTACCTTCACAACATGCATCAACATAAACGCCCCCAATCGCAGCTCCTCTTGCCACATGGTTTTTTCATATGTTGGTGACGGAAACTTGCAAAAACCAGAGGAAGCTGCATGCATTTTTCCTGGGCCCCAAAGCGCATGTGCATGACCCTGTGCATGTTCTTTTGGTTGGCTTGAATCATATGCATGGCCCTATGCAAAATTTCCTTATCTGCTTTGGGGCCCCAAAACTATATGCATTCCCAATCTGCGAATGTTATGCATTTTTGAATATATTGCTGGGGTACCCCTTGTGCCTAACAACGGCTAGGAGTGCCCCCAAAGCCCTGAAGATCTAACGTTGTTCCTCTGGCTTGCTCCCGGCCACAAACCTCGGAAGCTGCTCCACCCACATAGATGAAGTGTTCTCATTGGCGGCGGTCTTGCCCATGAGTTCCATCAGCTGGGTCAGGAAGTTGGCCTACAACAATTTAGCAGTGAGCTGCATAGCAAATAGCAACCAAAAAAAAACTGCAGTCTCTCTAGGGGAAAATGTTTTCTCCAATTGTGACGTGGGCCGCCAAAAACAAACCCGCCGACAGTTTTGCCGCAAGAATGGATCAAAATTGTGGCCCGGCCATGCCACAGAGATTTTTTTGAAATCATAACACGATAAAGAAAAATCAGTTCGTTTTTGTTTCGGCCCTTCCAGCTTTTTCTGTCTCTACGGGCAATCGTTTTGCCTTGTCCGTTTTGCTCTGTCATATGGCAGTTTGAACCTGGAGGTTGAACAGAATGCACGAACTGGAACAAGTTTCTCTTTTATTCACAGCACCACCTGACCCCATCTCTGGAAGACATGTGCATGCGTTAGTGAACATGAACATTATTGCCCCGCCCCGCCCCATCTCTAGCGTAGCACATGTCTAGTGTAGCAATTGCGCGCGCTAGTAAGCATGAACTTTTTTGCCCCGCCCGACCGTATCTCTAGCGTAAGACATGTCTAGTGTAGCATCGATGCGCTAGTCAACATGAACGCTATGAATGTACTGTCCCACCCCACCCCATCTCTGTCTCTAGCGTAAGACACGTCTAGTGTAGCATCAGGTGCTTGTGCTAGTAAGCATGAACACTATTGCCGCACCCTAGTCTATCTCTGGCGTAAGACGTGCTGGCATAGCATCAGGTGCGCGTGTTAGTCATGAACGTTTTTGGCCCGCCACGCCCCATGTCTAGCGCAAGACATGTCTAGTGTAGCTTCAAGCGTGTGTGCTCATCAACATGAACGCCATGGACGCTATTGCCCCATCCCACCCCATCTTTATTGTAGGATATGCCCATTGTGTAACATGGACTGGTTACAGAAGGACATTTTGGAGACTGGTGGAAATTCCTGACAGCAAAAACAAGTTTCAAAAAATGACGAGTCACAGTCATCGTCTGCCATTGTTCATAAGGAATCAAATCACCAACAGAAATCCCATCATGAATCAAACAAGATTTCACTCACACTCACCAGATCATCAAATCAGGTCACTTCAGTATCATTGCAGATTTGATTTTGTCCTAGAAAAGGTGGTGGTGCATGGATGTTGGACAGACAATACTGTAGGCTGGCCTAGGATGAAATTGGCCCCTGCCCACCCTAAAGTGCGGGGTTAGCCAACGCACAAGGTTGATCACAAAGGCGCTGCTCTCCGTAAGCTTGACCACGCCTGGGTCCGCCACCCCTGCTGCTTTCAGCTGCTGCAGCAACAGAAAGATGCCCCCTTTCTCGCAAAACTTGCTGAGCTGCTGCAGCAAGAGATCAGTGGCTGGCTGAGTCAGGACGGTCCAGCCATCGGAATTGACACCATGGCGTTGCCATCCAACATCTTGGTGGCGTATGTGTTGCACAGCTTGGAGGAAGCATCCGTTGCAGCGTTGCCAGCATCTCGCAAGAGATCATCATAGCTCGAGGCGGAGGTGATGATGGCATTGAAAACGCGGCACTTCTCTTGCACAGCAGATGTCCAAGCGTTGAAACCTAAGTTCTCCTCGTCAGTACCATTCGCAAGAAAAGCTTTGGCAACATCCTGCTCACAAGCCTGCAAGAAGAAGAACTCCTTCAACTGCACAAAGCTTGGCAACGCATCCCTCGCAGCTGTCAGCTGTTGGTTGGCTCCTGCAGCAAGCTGGAGTAGTTGGCTGCCGGAACCAGTCTCGTGACCCTTGTCGACTTTGTCTCATGAGCAAGCAAATGAATGGTCAGGCACGTCCTGTTGGGGACGTGCAACATCATTGAGCTCTGAGGAAAAAGCCACACGAATTACACCGCCGTAGACCCCAAACAGTGGGTGGATTCAAGAAGTGTTTTGGGGAACAAGGCCAAAGACATGAAATAGCAGCAACAGGATTAATGAACTTTATCTGCAAAAAGTGCAACAGACCACTTTGTATACGTTTATTTTGTTCGGCTTCGCTTGCTTTGTTGCAACGCTAGATGTCGAAAAAGACGAAGGAAGCATCCGATGGGGGTGCAAGTATTTGGTTCCAAACGCTCGAAGCAAGCAGCATAGGACTGTCAAATTGGATGTGTTGAAAACATCGAAGGATGAAAGTGAAAGATGACACATCATTCTCAATCCCGGAGCTCTGTGAACTTTCAAGTCTGCGCAATTCTCGGCGTGCGAAAATTTTTGCTGGGGAACAAGGGAGAGACAAGCTGGGAGACAAGCCGGGAGACAAGCTGGGGGGCAAGCTGGGAAACAAGCTGGCTGGGAGACAAAAGAGACAAGACCGTAGGAAGGTGGACGCACCCTCCAACAAAGGGAAACAAGAAGGAGGACAAACTGGTACACAAGCTGGGAGACAAACGGGACAAGGACTTGGGAAGGCGGACAAACCATCCAACAAAGGGAAAAAAGAAGGGAGACGTGGGAGACAAGGGGGAAGACGGACACACCACCCAACAAAGGGAAACAAGAACAAAGACCAGCTGGGAGACAAGCTGGGAGACAAGGCCTCGGGAAGACGCGCGGACCATCCAAGAAACGGAAACAAGAAGGGAAACAAGCTGGAAGGCGGACACCAAAGGGAACAAGAATTAAATTACATGCACGGTCGCCACGCGTCAATACTTCCAAGATACGTAACTTCAAGTAAAACCAAAATAAAAACCACAAACACATTGACATGAAAATGCACTGAATGTGAAAACTCACGCGCCACTCTGTTTTCTCACAACTGCGATGGGGAATGCGTGGTCGCACCACTGCTGCAAAAGGTTCATCTGCCGCTCCACAGTTTGGTCGGCTTTCATTCAGCCATGCAACAGTTCCCAGCGATCATGCTGGGCAAACCATCTGGCTGCTGTAGCCTTTTCAAGGAAAAAAACAAAATCATCCCGCATCACTCTCCCGACATCAGGACGTAGGGAAAATTTCGGCCCATTGCTGCTGGCCCTCAGTATTCGTTCGGTAGAAGAACCGTGCAAGGCTGGCTCGGGTCAGGAGACGGAGCTGCAGCTTCACGGCGGGCAGGTCCAGCAGCGAGCGTAGCAGGCACTGGCGCTTCATTGGGATCGTCCCTGGCAAGCTCAATCAGCGCTTGACAGGACTGCAGCAGGAGCATGGTGTCTTGCAACATACTGTATGTATCGCTGTGCAAGTCCGTGTCGTAGTGAAGACGGAACCAATCCAGAAATTCATTGAGTGCCTGCAAGGCGGGGCCAAATTTTCCACGATGTTCACGGAATCGTGGGTCCAACAGGGCCCCCAGTGCCGCGGCGGGAGTGCCAGCGACGTCCCTGTCTCCGGTGGGAGATCTGGAAAGTGGAGCTTCTCGAGCACCACAAGGGAGTTGGTCATGCTTGCCCAAGCATCGAATGCCGCCTTAAGAAAGGGCGGTCGCCCGCATGCCTCAAGGAGCGGCTTCAGCGCTCCTATAATGGTCTCGAAGACCCTCACCCTGGGCTCTGGCTGTGGCATGTCCATGTACAGCAAGGCCACTGAGATGAACACACTGAAGTTCACTATATCAGGCTGCTGCATAGGGGACCCAGGGTATTGGACGCTGCTTCGAAAATTTGAGCTTGGAGCTGTCTTGCAAGAGCAGGAAGCTGTCAAGTGGCCGGGTGGGAATTAGGGCCGGGACAGGCCACTTGAAATGAAAAAAACTTGAGACCAAAATGAATTCATGTCATGTCAAACTTTTCACAACGTCAAGTTCAAGATGCACGGCTGACATTCATTTGCCTGAAAACGTTTGAGAGGAATAAATCAAATTGATTTCGCTGTTGGTTTTCACAGGTTCATCCCTGGCAGTATGAGGGCAATAAAGGAACCAACCAGTATGAAATAATTTCATTGTTTTGTTTTCACAGGTTCATCCCTGGCATGTTACGATGCTCGGGTGAGCAAAGGCATGATATAGCCGGTGGCTAAAATTTGGCAACCAAATTTTCCTAGCTTAGTAATTTAATGCACTATCAACGCGTTGACCGTACGCTGAAATTACACGCACGGTCGCCACGCGTCAATACTTCCAAGATACGTAACTTCAAGTAAAACCAAAATAAAAAACACAAACACATTGACATGAAAATGCACTGAATGTGAAAACTCACGCGCCACTCTGTTTTCTCACAACTGCGATGGGGAATGCGTGGTCGCACCACTGCTGCAAAAGGTTCATCTGGCGCTCCACAGTTTGGTCGGCTTTCACTCAGCCATGCAACAGTTCCCAGCGATCATGCTGGGCAAACCATCTGGCCGCTGTAGCCTTTTCAAGGAAAAAAATCAAAATCATCCCGCATCACTCTCCCCATCTTAACCGTCGAACTGACAAGGAACTGCACGAGGTCAAGGCAACCTTGAAGGACACAAAGCAGACAAAACTCTTTTGGCGACAAGCTTGGCAAAGTCGGCGGAGACACGCCCGGCTGTGATTTCGGCGAGGTCATTTCTTGAAGGTCCATCGGCAATGTTGGATGCCGAGGGGGCTCTCGCAAACCAAGAGTTAGTGCAGTTCCTATCTTCCAACATCAGGAGTTCAGCAACTAGGTCGGACGCAGGTGAGGTCCTAGCCCTTCCAGAAATGCTCACGTCTCGGGTTGCATTGTTGTCAATGTACATCACGCATGGTCTGTGGCGAAGGTGTCGCTTCCAAACTTTGAAGCAAACAATAAGTGCAAACAGCTCTGCCTCAAAAATAACCGTCGACCGGGACGGATACCCAAGGCACTCCAAATCACTCATGTCGAGGCAGAAGGATATGGCTGAGATTTGCTCTCCGCTCGGCCCCACCAGCACCCCACCAATGCCACAAGGCCAGGCAGCATCAGTTGGATCAGATGACGCATCAGTGAACAGGAAGAAGGGGACGTCCCACCACAGCGAGATCTCTCTCGGTTTTGACTCTTCCAAACTTCGCACAAACACTTCCAAGCATCTGGTGAGGTGGCAACTGATTCCAGGGCCGTCACCTGAATAGGCATGGGCAGTAACTGCGTTGAGACAAAGCTTGGAAGCCCGGCCCCAAAGCTGCGCATGAGCAAACTGCATGCGGCCGCGCAGAGCTAGGGCAGCTTGGTGAGGCAAAGTCCGGCTCTCTAAAACGGTTTTGATGGTGGACACCAGCTCTGCCGTGCGCTTGCTTGTGTTTGCAAACCTAGCAATACCAGATGGCCATGCAGACAGGTCGACTTCGATTCCCAAGGCTTTGAATTTTTCTGAAAAGGGAAGGTCCTTCTCGCCCTCAGAGACACCCCAACCCAGCAAACGGAAAAACTGCCTGGTGACGACATCAACTGAAACGGATTCCTCGGACCTCGCCAGGGTAATAAAGTCATCGAAGAAATTTGTCCAAGGCAGCTTAAGCGCAACACAACCCAGCCACCATAGGGAGTGTGCCACACGGAGGAAACTATATACGGACCGGCTGGCCCCAAATGGGAGAGCTCTCATAGCAAAAACCTTCGGAGTCTTGGACGACGGGTCATAGACTGCAATGAAGGAAACCCACCGCGACTCTGCGGCCACACCCAACTGTCGGTATGCGGCTGATAGGTCTATCGTCTTTCCAACCCAGCAGGCCGAACTGGATTCACGCAGAAGCTTCAAAATGAGGGCAGCTGCAACATCCAACGTGTGCAATTTGGTACAGCTATCGACTTGGACTGTTGAGTTTACGCCTGAGGCGCTGAAATCATCTATGAGACGCACCTTCGATGCATCACCCGAGCTTTGGAGGATACCAAATTGCCTGCTGATGACCGTGTCCTCTGGCAGCAATTCGGGGTCATGGGGGCCTTCCAGCCACCCGTTCTCTAACTCCTCCAGGGTCTTCCGGTAAACCTCAGAGTCAATGAACGGGTCACCAGAGGAACGGACAGATCTCAAGAGGCCTATGCGGGCCGCCCTCGCAGTGGATGCCAGCTCAGACTCCGTCAGCTTTGCCGGTTTGAAGCAAGCTTCGAGGGATGGCACTGTTGGGGCCACACCAGAAAGTTTTGTACCAGACACCACCTCGTCAAAAACTTCGCAATCTGGGTACTTATAGTGCACCATCATGCCGTTTCGGGGCCAGGATGCCTCTCAAGGCCGGATCAAGCGATTTGTGCAAGGTGGCCTCATCCTCAACTAACGCTTTTGCACGCTCCAGCCAATGCTCTAACTCAGAAAGCCGGTGTCTCGCAACAACATGCATAGGGTTGTTGTTGAGAAAGTCAACAGCAACGTCAAGAGCAGCTGGAAGCTTGGTTTCTCTGCTGATGGGGTGCCCTGCTAGCACTGCTGTTTTCACAAATTCCTGACCCGACCTGAAGACTCCAAAGGAGACCCTTTTCATTCCAGGCTGTAGCTTCCCTATACCCCCATTTGACCGTACAATCTGTTTTTTAAGCAAGCAGGCTCCTGCGGGAACATTCTGCCAAGGTTTTGAGAGTTTATCTCCTGGCACTATTGGCAGAGGGTCGTCATGGGTAACATCAACATCGATGATGGCGCCAAACTCGGAAACCAAAGGAGGGATTTTGCTGGCTTTAGGATGCACGCCAGTAACAGATCGCAAATATTGATATGAAATGTCGTCGGGCAATGACAAAATTTCACTGGGAGGCTTCCAACCCTTTAGGACGAGCTGCTTCACTAAAAAGAAAGCAATGGTGAAAGCCAATTGCATGGGATAGGCTGTTTCTTCTGCTGTAGAAAAGCTAGCGTTGCTAGTCATGCCCCAGGGCTTGTGCTTGTGCTTCTGGTCTTCGCCCGGGCACGTATGGCTGAGGTCCTGAAGGGTTTGCGTGTTGTGTGCCAGGGCTGTCCACTTGGGCCGTTCTGAACCGTAGGCACATGCTTGGTGTACTGTGAAATTCAGAAGCTCTTTGAGCGGTGCAAAGAAAGAAGTTCGCCAATATAAGGACTGCCGTGGGTTTTCAATACACACTATGAGGGATCTTGCAATGCAGTTAAGGCAGAGCTTGGTGATAAACTGGTACAGGACATTTGCAGACTCCACACGCAATTTGTTGGTCCCCGTTAAGTGTTCGAAACCATCTGGCTGCTCCTCAGATCGCAAAGGTCTCGGTCCAGGGATCCTTTTGCCTGACGGCAATCGTACCGGTATACCTCTTGCTCTGCTACAAGTGCCGCAAGGAGGCGCACAGAAGATGCCAACACAATTTGGCGACAGCACCCATTGCCAACAAAGGGTTTGACCTTCAGGTGTGGTCAAGTCCGCCACAAGCAGTCGGCCTGAATCTTTGCTTCGCTTGTGGTCGACGCCAAAGGAAGATTTAAGTCCAAGCTGTTGTAGACAGGTTGTTACTCTTGCAGAACCGGCACAAATCTCAAGAAAAAATGGGTCAGCAGGCATGGGTGAGGTGACAATGGGGTCACTCTTCAGGCTACTTGAAGGGAATTTTTTTTGCTCGGCATTGTGGGTCATGGAGACCGAGCGAGCGGCAGGCTCTAAAGTTACATCACTAACATGCATAGGGCTCACTTCGGAGGCAACATCTGTACAGTTGCTTGGCAAAACTTTGCGAACACTTTTTGCGGGCTGCATGGGCATGTCATCTGGTTCGATGCACTTGCGCTTACTGGGCAGCTCGCGGCCAGTTGCTAGTCATGACTTCTTGTGATCGGCCATGCAATGATGGCCATAGCAAATGGCACACACATGATAGCCTTTTCTGCAGCGGCCATCAGTGACACTTTCCTTGCACTTCTTAGGTGAGTAATCAAAACAAATGAGATCACCCGCTGGCGTAGAGGCAGTGCCGCCAGCTTCTCGAATCTCACGTGGAACCCTCTGGTCAAACTTTGTTTTAGTTTTTCCTTTTCCCTTTGCGCCATACGGCCGGAAACGGTTGTTTCCCTTACGGCTTGATTTTCCAAATGCCCCAGGCTGTTGCTTCGGCGGGGAGTTCGATGCCTTGGCTTGCGGTTTCAAGAGCTGCTTTGAAACTGTAGGCAAAAGGGTGAATGCAATCTCATAGGACTTCAAAGCTTCCAAAAGCTCCTTGTCAAGGGCAAGGACCCCTGCTGCATCTGGTCTTGGTTTTGTGTTAGTCTCTATAAGGTGGCTCCAGGCAGCACGGTCTGCGGCAAGGAGTTGGGACACACTACATCGGTTATACCCCGTGGGGGGGTCTCTATTCAAGTGATTGAAAAGTGTTTGCACATATTTATCATGGGCTCCAAAGGACATGACTCCTGCGAAGTCCAGTGCCAATCCACGTCTTTTGCATGCTTCCAATGCCTGGTACGATGACTGGACCGAAGCCTCATGTTCCTGATCTCTGTCTCGAACAACCACCTTCGAAGATTCAATCTCAAGCAGCTTTGCATGCGGCTTGCCTGAAAATGCAGGTTCTGTCAAGCGAGAAAAACATTTCTCCAGTGGTATGTACCGGAGTATGTTCTGGTCATACATCTGGCAGGCACTGTCAAGGAGGGAATGACTCGGTTCGCCATGCCCTTCTATGAGGATCCCATCCAGTCTCGTTCTAAGGTTCACCATTCGAGCTTCGCGTTCTGCTTGGGGCACCTTTCTGGCAACCACAGGGTCAGGGTTTGTGACCTGCTCCTTAAGCATCGCTAGCAGCTGTGTCTGGCTTTCGAATAGCAACCGTTTGAGCGAGGATACCCCACCAACAGTCGCCCCAGGGTCCAGCTGGCGCACCCATGTTGCGAAATCTTCATTGGAAATTGGTTGGCCAGGCTGGCCATGTGCAAACGCCAAGGAGGATATCGTGGTAACACCAGAGTTCTTAAGAGCAAGCTGGAGGGTTTGCGGAACTCTCACTTGGTCCAGCCTCAAGTCAAACTGCGCTTCGGAGTCAATGATCGATGCCATTGTCGCAAGTCAGGGTGCAACGAACTGTTTTCCTATCTGTGGGATTACAAGGGTTAACAAGCTTAAAACAAGACTGCGATGGTTTTAGCAATGGCTTGGCTTGTGTAAAATTTCAAGCTTAATTTTTTTTTGAACATGCAGTGAATTCTTGAACCATAGGAAAGCGGTGTGCTCTCAAATGAATGAGGACATCCCTCAGGAATGTGGCACCCATTGTTCAACTGAGGACATCCCTCAAGCGCAATGCATGACATGCAAGGACATCCCTTGAGTATGCGCTTTTCAAATCACATCACTGCTGAAACAACAGTTAAAATGACAGCCACATTTTTTGCCAACATCGACCTCCAATCTGCCATCGACCCTGTTGTAGGGAGGCCGCATCTATCCGGATACACCGGCTCCATCCCTGCGGCGATTGCAGGATTTGCACAGGACATTCCATGCACTTGCTTCTGTGCACAACGTGAAGGCTTCCGTGAGCCGTTTACCACACACCAAAAACCTAAGGCCATTATGATCATCGCCATCAAAACGGTGCACCAGGTGGGACTTAGAGTGGACGTACCAACGCTGCCCCTCAGGAATGCGAGCACGAAATCGCTTCACTTTGGGTGGGGGCTCAACCAAATCTGAATCATCTGAAGACAAACATCCACTGCTATCAGTTGAAGAATCAGAGTCATCCGACTCTTCCACAACCTGGTCCTCAGCCGGGGCAGCATCACCAGCAAGATCTGGATCCCTTGCAGGGGGCTTCATGGTGGTGTCAGCATGACCTGGGACCTCTTCACCTTGGAAATCATGAAGTTCACTCATGATGCTTCTTGACTGAGGCACAATAGTCAACCCTGCAAGCAACTCTCTCCATGCTCTGGCCTGATCCTTGCGCCTGAAAAACTCGGAACGCGGGTTGTCAGGGCAAAAGCTTCCATCTGCTATCTCATCAATGACACGTTGGAGTTCAGCAACTGGTGCACCCATGAGGTCTCTAGAATAAATAGCATATGTCTCTGTCAGGGCATTTGTGTGCCCGACCCAGCAACGAGCGTGTGGCTGGTGATAATCCATACCTGGCGCACCAAGACAAGGTGGTTGCTTTGAGGCTATGGCTGGAGGGAATCTCAGCGCTGTCTCCAGGCACCGGCTCAGCAACATTGATGAACCTACGCAACATTGAAGAGACTTCGGAAGACCTCAAACCTCTTTTCATGAAACCACCAACTGAACTGCTGGGAGCGTGAGCGAGCGGCCCATCGATCTGGTCTGAGAGCTTGACACCAGCTGCATCAAAGACGGTCAGGGCTTCCTTAACCCAGACCTCCCCATCAACACCACGTGCTGGTATGATGATGGGCATCAACCTTGTCTTCAGGGTTGCAAGCCTCCCAGTTTTGTGGTTGCAGGTGTGAATGACAACAAAACCACCCTCATCAGAGAAATCAGCTTCAAAAGATTGAATGAGAGCCAGGTCGCTGTTCCTGCATCGTCCGTAAAGGGCAAAGAGCAGGTAGGCAACCATTGTTCTGTCATAAACATGAAGGGCCGTGTTTTTGAGTGCAGTGTGCAACCCCTTCACCTGAGCCACTGTCAGCACCAAAGCCTGCTTCAGCAAATCCCTGCAAGGCGCCGGCTAGTCATCGCAGGGCCCAATGAATCAAATCCCAAAATATGGTAGGCAAATCTGAAAGCAGACATCGCTGAGTCACCCTTTGTTGCGGGTGCGCTGGACTCCCTCAAAAACTGCAAATATTTCCAAACCATCTCTTCAGTGAAAGGGTTCACCTCCTGGATTCCATTCTTTGCAAGCCAGCGCAAAAAGGACAGCAATGAGTTTGCACGTTTAATGAGAGTTGCAGGAGACTTCACTCCTAATACGGCTTGCAACACCCCAGAGGCCCCCGCATCTTGCATTTGTTCAGTCCCCAACGCAATGATGTGTCTACCGGTACTGCTGGCAAGAAGGCAATGTCGCAACACGATCAAAAGTTTGCTCACTGCAGCATCATACAACTGTTGACGTTTTGATTGGAAAAACCCATCATCAACACAAGCGATGCAACTGGCAAAAATTGGACCAGGGGCCAGGGGCTGAGCAGGATGCAACTCCAGCGACAGCTTCAGCAACCGATTGGGGTTCAGGCTGGTTCCCAAAATTGCAGAACTCATCAATCTGAACTGCAGGGACCAACGACTGCGGGAAAGGTTCATCGCTGAAAAATTCCTTGTAAAAGCCCGTCTCCCAGGGCAGACCAATGTTAGTCACTTCACAATTTGTCAACAAGGCTCTGGTGAAGATTGCATGGTGCACAGACTCCGTAACTGTTGGTTGGAAAGAAAATGCAACATCTACACTGCGGTCTGTTCCAGAAAGGTCCACACCATTGCTGTTGGGCTCCAGCCACGAGCCAGGCACACCAGGAAAGAGATCTTGATCACCTGAAGGGCATGACGGAATTTGAGGACAATCTGGGGCATGTTCAAAACCAGGGCCATCAAAATACTGAAAAGAATCTGCATCATGGTCGCGATCGTGGGGTACAGGAAAATCAACATGAGGTTCAGCAGGGTCATTCGAAAAACATGGCACTGCAAGGTCATCATCATTCACTGTACCAAGTCCAAAAGGTTCATTGCCAGATTCCACGTTGAAGTCTATGACGTCCACTCAAATGAAAAACCCCCACTTATCCGTAGAGTAACCAAAATAGGCAGCAAATCCAGCCAACTGAAAAACTGACACAGCAACTGCAAAAGAAATGACAGCCCTGAAAGGTCTGAGGCCCCGATGAGCCCAAATGGACAAATGTCGTGACAGCTACTTTGCCCCGGCTACCGGCATCTAAATGCCGCCGCATTGGCACAGGCCACTTGAAATGAAAAAAACTTGAGACCAAAATGAATTCATGTCATGTCAAACTTTTCACAACGTCAAGTTCAAGATGCACGGCTGACATTCATTTGCCTGAAAACGTTTGAGAGGAATAAATCAAATTGATTTCGCTGTTGGTTTTCACAGGTTCATCCCTGGCAGTATGAGGGCAATAAAGGAACCAACCAGTATGAAATAATTTCATTGTTTTGTTTTCACAGGTTCATCCCTGGCATGTTACGATGCTCGGGTGAGCAAAGGCATGATATAGCCGGTGGCTAAAATTTGGCAACCAAATTTTCCTAGCTTAGTAATTTAATGCACTATCAATCAACGCGGAAAGACAACCTGGCAAGCTGGGAGACAAGCTGGGAGACAAGCTGGGGGACAAGGGGGACAAGTCCTCGGGAAGATCCACAGCAAGGGGACGGCAGACGCACCATCCAACAAAGGGAAACAAGAAGGGACACAAGGGGAGACAAGACCTCGGGAAGGCGGACTCACATGTGGGGAGAAAAAGACAGACAATTGGAGGCAGCGGGAGACATAGGAAACAAGGGGAGACAAAACGGGAAAGCGGGCATACCATCCAACAAAGGGACACAAGAAGGAAGACCATGCGAGACAAGACCTTGGGAAAGCGGACACACCGTCCAGGACAGGCGCACTTGTGGGGAGACAATGAGAGACAAGCGGAGGCAAGACCTCGGAAATCCAACGCAGGCGCATATGTAGGGAGTACAATGGGAGACAGTGGGTCATACCATCCAAACACAGGCACACAAAAGGGAAGACTATGGGAGACAAGCGGAGGCAAGACCTCGGGAAGGCGGACGCACCATCCAACACAGGCACACATGTGGAGAAAAAAAGAGACAAGGGGAGGCAAGACCTCGGGAAGGCGGTCACACAACACAGGCACACATGTGGGGCACACATGCGGGAAGACAATGGGAAACAAGGGGGGGCAAGGGAGGACAAGACCTCGGGAAGGCAGACGCACCATCCAACAAAGGAAAATAAGAAGGGAGACAAGGCTTCAGAAACGCGGACACGCCATCCAAGATAGGGAAATAAGAAGGGACACAAAGGGGGGCAAGACCGGGGGAACACGGAGGCAGCATCCAACACAGGGAGACAAGGCGGGACAAGACCTCGGAAAGGCGGGCGCATCCGCCACAGGCACGCATGTGTGGAGACATGGGAGACAAGCTGGGAGACCAGGCGAGACAAGAGCTCGGGAATGTGGACGCACCATCCAACACAGGCTCGCCTCAAAAAGGCGAGCCCACCATCCACAGGCACACATGTGGGGAGACAATGAGAGCAATGGGGGACAATGAAAGCAATGGGAGGCATTTGGACACGGTGGGGGATAAGGGGAGGTGTATATATATGGGGAGACAATGGGGAGACGAGACCTCGGGAAGGTGAACACACCTTCCAACGCAAGCTCACGTGTGCCACAATATGGGGGAAACAAAGGGAAACAAGGGGAGACAAGCGGACACACCATCCAACACAGGCACACATATGTGGGAAGACAGTGGGAGGCAATGGGAGACAAGACCTCGGGAAGGCGGACGCAGCATCTAACACAGGCACACATGTGGGAGACGATGGAACACAAGCGGAGAGAGGGGGAGACAAACCTCGGGAAGACGGACACACCATCCAACACAGGCACACCTGTGCGGAGACCATGAGAGGCAAGCATCCAACACAAACTCACATGTGGGGAGACACTGGGAGACAAGGGGAGGCAAGACCTCGGGGAAGCGGATGCACCATCTGTGGAGAGGCAGTGAGAGGCAACCATACACTACAGGCACACATGTGGGACAGGAGGAAGCAAGACCTCGGGAAGGTGGACCAACACAGGCACGCATGTGGGCAAAAATGGCAGACAAGGGGGGGCAAGACCTCAGGAAGCTGGGCCCACCATCCAACACAGGCACACATGTGGGAGACGATGGGCCACAAGCGGAGGCAAGGGGAGACAAGACCTCGGGAAGGCGAGCGCAGCAGACATAAGGGGAAACAACGGGTGACAAGGAGAGACAAGACCTTGGGAAGGCGGACACACCTTACGATGGGAGACAAGCGGAGGCAAGACCCCGGGAAGGCGGACACAGCATCCAACGCAGGCACACATGCGGGAAGACTAGGAGACAAGGGCAGACAAGACCTCGGGTAGGCGGACGCATCAGCCAACGCAAGGGAAGACAAGACGTCGGGAAGGCGGACGCACCAGCCAACACGGCACACATGTGGGGAGACAATGGGAGACAATGGGAGACAATCGGAGACAATTGGAGACAAGCAGAGACAAGACCTCGGGAAGGCCGACGCGCCATCCAAGACAGGCACACATGTGTGGAGACAATGGGAGACAAGCGGAGGCAAGACCGCGGGAAGGCGGGCACAGCATCTAACGGGCACACATGTGGGGTGACAATGGGAGACAAGAACAGGCAGACAATGAGAGACAATGGGAGACAAGGGGAGACAAGAGCTCGGGAAGGCGGACGCACCATCAACAAAGGCACACATGTGGGGAGACAATGGGAGACAATGGGAAATGATATTTCGGGCAGGCGGACACACCATCCAACCGGACATTGTAAGTAAGCAAAGAGAACACAACCAGTACACTGTTTGGGGAAGAAAAAGTATATTCTATTTAAATTGCAATTTTTTTTCTTTGGACATGATGGACCTTTTTTTCCTTCTAATATTTCCAGATAAATTCCCAGTGGTACCGCGCAAGGAGCGGGCAAAAGTTTCAGAAATAGGAACCTATGGGAGCGGTTGCTTGTGGTGAATCACGGATGGCAGAGCGAAGCCACGGATGGACCGAAAGGTAATTGGAGTTGTGTTTTTTCCCCAAACAGGTTTACCTGTATGGGGTTCTTACTCCTTTCAAAGGGTTGCATCCCTGGGCCGCATGATTTTGCCTCTGTCTCCGCGCTTGCATCCCACTCTGGGTGCCTTGGGCCGCATGAGTTTACACCTGTCTTCCACTTGTCTTTCACACTTGTCTGCCACTCTGGGTGCCTTGGGCCGCATGAGTTTACAGTTTACACTTGTCTCCCACACTCGTCTCCCACACTTGTCTTTCACACTTGTCTCGCACTCTGGGTGCTTGGGCCGCATGAGTTTACACTTGTCTTCCATTTGTCTCCCACACTTGTCTCCCACCCTGGGTGCCTTGGGCCGCATGAGTTTACACTTGTCTCCCACTTGTCCCTCACACTTGTCTCCCACTCTGGGTAGCTTGGGCCGCATGAGTTTACACTTGTCTCCCACTTGTCTCCCACTTGTCTCCCACACTTGTCTCCCACACTTGTCTCCCACACTTGTCTCCCACTCTGGGTGCCTTGGGCCGCATGAGTTTACACTTGTTTCCCACTTGTCTTCCACACGTGTCTCCCACTCTGGGTGTCTTGGGCCGCATGAGTTTACACTTGTCTCCCACTTGTCCCTCACACTTGGGTGCCTTGGGCCGCATGAGTTTACACTTGTCTTCCACTTGTCTCCCACACTTGTCTTTCACTCTGGGTGTCTTGGGCCGCATGATTTTACACTTGTCTCCCACGTGTCTCCCACACTTGTCTCCCACACTTGTCTCCCACACTTGTCTCCCACTATGGGTGCCTTGGGCCGCATGAATTTACACTTGTCTCCCACTTGTCCCTCACACTTGGGTGCCTTGGGCCGCATGAGTTTACACTTGTCTCCCACTTGTCCCTCACACTTGTCTCCCACTCTGGGTAGCTTGGGCCGCATGAGTTTACACTTGTCTCCCACTTGTCTCCCACACTTGTCTCCCACACTTGTCTCCCACACTTGTCTCCCACACTTGTCTCCCACACTTGTCTCCCACACTTGTCTCCCACTCTGGGTGCCTTGGGCCGCATGAGTTTACACTTGTTTCCCACTTGTCTTCCACACGTGTCTCCCACTCTGGGTGTCTTGGGCCGCATGAGTTTACACTTGTCTCCCACCTGTCCCTCACACTTGGGTGCCTTGGGCCGCATGAGTTTACACTTGTCTTCCACTTGTCTCCCACACTTGTCTTTCACTCTGGGTGTCTTGGGCCGCATGATTTTACACTTGTCTCCCACTTGTCTCCCACACTTGTCTCCCACACTTGTCTCCCACTATGGGTGCCTTGGGCCGCATGAATTTACACTTGTCTCCCACTTGTCCCTCACACTTGGGTGCCTTGGGCCGCATGAGTTTACACTTGTCTCCCACTTGTCTCCCACACTTGTCTCCCACACTTGTCTCCCACTCTGGGTGCCTTGGGCCGCATGAGTTTGCACTTGTCTCCCACTTGTCTCCCACACATGTCTCCCACTCTGGTTGCCTTGGGTCGCATGAGTTTACACTTGTCTCCCACTTGTCTCCCACACTTGTCTCCCACTCTGGGTGCCTTGGGCCGCATGAGTTTACACTTGTCTTCCTTCTGCTCTCACACTTGTCTCCCACTCAAGGTGCCTTGGGCCGCATGAGTTTACACTTGTCTCCCACTTGTCTTCCGCACTTGTCTCCCACTCTGGGTGCCTTGGGCCGCATGAGTTTACACTTGTCTTCCATCTGTCTCCCACACTTGTCTTCAACTCTGGGTGTCTTGGGCCGCATGATTTTACACTTGTCTCCCACTTGTCTCCCACACTTGTCTTCCACTCTCCCACTCTGGGTGCCTTGGGCTGCATGAGTTTTCACTTGTCTCCCACACTCGTCTCCCACTCTGGGTGTCTTGGGCCGCATGATTTTACACTTGTCTCCCACTTGTTTCCCACACGTATCTCCCACTCTGGATGTCTTTGAGCGCATGAGTTTACACTTGTCTCCCACACTTGTCTCCCACACTTGTCTCCCACTCTGAGTTCTTTGGGCTGAGTTTACACTTGTCTCCCACTTGTCTCCCGCACTTGTCTCCCTTACTTGTCTCCCACTCTGGGTTCCTTGGGCCGCCTGAGTTTACACCTGTC